TCCTATGTTATGTCATCCATTAAAATTATTGTTTGTTAGTTCATGATTATATGGAATTAGGATACAACAGTTTGATGAGGATTTTATATGTTTTGTTTCATTGTTATAGGGATCATACATAAAATCCCTTAAAGAATCATCTTTTGCCAATACGAATTTTAATAAGACACCGCATAGTTAAAAGTAGTGGCGGACAAATGGATAAAAAATAGAGAATCGAATAGATAATGAACTTTTTAAAAATGAGTTAAATTATAGATAAGATTCATATCATTCACTTAAAGCTAAATGATGATATTCAAGAAGTCATGAATAATACGGATGTCCATATTATTCGACTTGTAACCCATTTCCGATCCATATTAAATATGGATCGGAACAAGTTTATCCTTTCTTTGCCTTATCCGTTTTCGCACCCATATTCTATCTGATCCGCCCATTTGACACCCCTAGTTAGAATTCTGTAATGGACAAAAGGACTGAGGGAGAATTTTATGTAATATCCCTTCTTGTATTTTCAGTTTAAATGATGAAAAGGGTCAAGGTGTATGCTGCATATTATACTACATGCATGTCTTAATCTCTTATATTAATTATGCTTATTCTTTCATTGGAAAGAACAAAACAAACCTAACTCACAATTACACAGCCGTCCACGTATAACAACTATCATATTCAGTGGCTGAGCCACATTGAACTAAGGTGTGTCAAGCGATATCCCTTCGCCGAAAATTACACTATATTGCTATATAATTTTTTTATTTTATATATATTTACTATACGTTGACCCCCTTAATTTTTTAATGTATCTAATTATTTATATTTTGATACTTCTTGATGAAAATTCTTGCTCCGCCACCGATCATATTAATCAATTCTTAGTTTACAGAAAAAATATATATAAACTGTACGGTAGGAACCTTAAAATTCGTTAGATATTAATTTATACTTTCTCTGATTAGTTCTTATCCAATCTACGGAGTTGTCGCTACACAAAGAGAATAGTTGCATAGTGGGGAGAAAAAGAAATTAACACAAAAAGGTGGGTGTGGCCGTGTGGGGTGGTACGATTGAAGTCTTTATATTAAGTGCTAAATAATTGAAGAAAATGCATTTTGCGGTTGCAAGTTGCTACCTTTGCTATTTGACAAGACCTTTTCTATATAAAATGTATAATATTTTTCTTTGTTTAATACTACTAAAAGTTAAGCTTTTTCTAAATAAAAAATTAGTGGCCACCCACAAGGAACAGATAGATTAACAAATGGGCAAAAAATGATTTAAAAAAAAAAAACTAATGAACCAAACCTTAATAAGACAAGTAGACCAACCTTTTTCAAGTTCTCAAATAAATGTATATGTCTATGCCAGAAATTCAAGTTGCTTATAATCCTCAACCACTCACTCACTCACATCATACTATATATGCATGTGGATATAAATACACACACGTATGCTCTTCTGCATCCAATGTTTTTGTCATTATTTTCAGTTCATTTTAGTTTCTTTACATTTGGCACGAATAAAATCAGAAATAATCCACAAAATTTCGTCAATCCATTACACAGAATCTTATAGTTAAACACTTTCACTTTTCAGAAGGATTCTTATAAGTGATCCTTAATTTTCGATAAAATTTGTTGATAATTAGGTAGGTAATGATAATACCATAACTATATCTTGATGATAAGATAACCTTGTTACGCATCTTAGAACTACTCCAGAATTAATATATAGTCAATTACTAATGGTGTCACTCACAAAATCGGTTAATTACATAATTTGTATATCATGTGTCTTAATATCTTTGTTAAGACAAAGTGGAGAGTGACTTTTTGTGGCGACTCTTTTGTCGCGCGATATGTTCAAGCACGGAACTTTTCTTAACAATCCTTGAATCGTCACGAATAATCTTTCATGTGACTTTAGTAGTTTTTATTATGACCTAGTCGCTGCAAAAAGTTTTATCTCTTAATTACTAACAAAAAAGAAAGTCTAATCTCTTGAAATGTGAGATAATAGTATTCTCGTTGTTTCAAAAAGATTGGCATTTCTCTTACTAGTCCGTTTTAAAATTTGGCACATTCCTATATTTTTTTAATAGGAAGCTTTTATAATCACACAAATACTATCATTTGTTTAAGATCACATGTTTCAAAAATTAATTTTAAAGTCACACAAATATTATGTCATATTTAAGAATAGAAGTTTCAAAAATTTTATTCTCTTTATTGAATTTTTCGTCAAGTCAAACTAAGATAAATAAATTGAAACCGATAGGGTATTTCTTCTAGGGTTTTGTTTGGGTTTGTTACCAAGTTGAGGAGACATAATCCTTTTAGGGACTGGAAATTTCAGTAAAATATAAATAATTAAGAGTGATAGTGGGTAGGCAAGAAAATGAAGGTATTAGAATAATCCTTACTCAATTAGTGGCTTTTGTAAGTGCATACATTCTTCACCATGCTAATATGGTGATGTCTGATCAAATTAGAAGTTACCAACATCACTGTATTAACCCTGTAAACATGTTGAAGCAGTACACAAATAGTCCTTAAAATGGACTGTCTTAAATTTTTGTCCTCGCTTATCATATGATTAGAACTTCAAATTTAATAAGTGTTGTTCATTGCTTGCCTTATGAGCAATATTTTTAACTTTTGACCTTAAAATTCTGCCTATAAAACAAGTGGGGGTTATAAGTTAAAAACAACCCCGAAAAGTATCATATTTCTGCAATTTTTGGTAAAAACACTATAGTAAAATAAATATTTGTTTTATTGAGAACGTGATGATTTATACATACAGCTAACCTCAAATTTTAAGTAATTATGTTTTTCTATCTAAAAACAAAGAATTGGTCACTATATGGGATATCTACTAGCAATTTAAGAGGCAGTGAATACTACTTAGGTAAATTGATGAAGTGAATTTAGACTCAACTCAAGGAGACAGATTATCTGACAGGCTACAAAGCCTACAAGAGAAGAAACGTTTTCATTTGTCCTATGGGATCAGAGCAAAAATAACTCCTTTTAACTGATTTCATCAGCACAAGATCAGGCAATTAAAGTTTTTGATTTGCAATAATTCTTGATTCATTTTTCTATATGGTTAGTTTAATGATACCCTCTAATATTCACCAACTAAAAGAATGTTTGATTAGAAAATATAAAAAGGAATAATATAGATTTCACGGGAACTTACACACATAATATATAGCAGAAATACTAAGATGACCAGAGTCAATATTAAAGGCTCTTCAGTTCTTGAAAGATCATTTGAACAATTACAAACATGAGCACAATAGTACATTAAAAACAAAATCATTTATATAGTCTATAGATAGTACCTCCTAGTTCTTATTCTGCTGCATGTGGGCTCATCGCTTCGTAGTGTTCCAGAAAGGTACTCTATTTTACCTTTACTTGGGTTTTTTCTCAAATAAAAACAAAGAATGACATAATAAAAAAGTTAATACTGTACTCATTGAGACAAAATCGTAAGAAAACAGAGTGCTCGACTAGAACAACCAAGAAAGAAGGTAATTACAAATATATTTCCTAATCTTTGAAATTATATATGTATATAGCTATGCAGCATGCTTGGTTTTATTATATGTTATTGTACTTAAAAGACTGTGGGATGTAAAAATATATCGATAGTGGAGCGTTCCGCTTTAGAGAGAAGTCTCTGCGCGAGCGGTGGTGGATGAAGCGGAACCTTTAGGTGCAACCGTGAAAGTTACTGAGAGGTCACAGATTCAATCTGTGAATACAACTTTTTTGTAGAAATATAAGGTAAGACTATGGTATAACGCTTCCTTGACCCCAGGGGCGTACGCAAAACTTTTTGCAAGCGGTGTCACATTTAAAAAAGGGCAAATGACCTACTTTTTTTCTCAAACAAAATAAGCTTCAGAAATAGCTAAAAAAGAGTTACTAGGGAGGATTGATCCCTAGACCCGGAGGAAATAAGGCAGGAGCTAAACCACTGGACCAAGAACAAAGTTGTACAAAGTGGTGTCACTCATGTCTATATATACGTATTTGATAAAATTTTCGTATTATTCATATGATATTTGGTGAAATATTTTAACGAAGCAGTGTCACGTGACACCACTTTACTCTGAGTGAATCCGCCCCTGCTTGACCCTATATATTAGCGAAAGCTTAATGGAATGGATTGACTTTTTTCTTGAGGGTGGGGAAATGAAAAAGCAAGCCAAAGCCAAGGTAAATACCAAAGAAGCTCACTCAATATGTAAGTCAGTTGTCTTGTGCTGAGGCTAATTCAGCTAATGGCCAATTTAACAAAAGCTGAGAAGACAGCATTTAGGTACAGTGATGTTAAAGTATTTACTAATATAGACTTTAACGTTTCTAATGTGGGTCCCTTCTATCTCAATCTCAAGTGCCTTTCGACTCATCATTTGTTTAAAATAATCATCAAAATTTTATGCTTTAAATAGTTTATAACTTTTCATTTGACCTAGATTTCGTCATCAATCACAATATGCTATTGGCTGCGAGACTTTAATATGATTTTCAAAATGCATATAGCTTCTCCTAAGATTGACTTTGAACTGTTATCCTTTCTTTTTTTCTTTTTTCCCCTTCTTATTCATACCATTCCCACCTTAAATAATTCCTGTCCCAATCATCACTAACTTTTCTTCCTTGTAAGCATCATTGCATGTACTGTTCAGCAATTATCCAAAGAAACTCAACCTTCATTAGGATTTCATGATATGCATGTATTAAACTATCCATATGCATTACATACATGTATGATGCCTTTTCTTTCAATAAAAACTACACGCCAACTATGCCTCAACCCAAAGATCGACTATATAAATTAATTCATATTTTAACTATTTTTAGGTTAGTCATCAACTTACCACAACTCGCCTTCTTTAGCTGGACCTGATACCAACTATGCTAACATATATGCATCAACTTTATCTTAGTCACTAACTAGTTGGTGTAGGCTGTATGTATCCTTTTCATAGTTTAACTATTTTTAGATTGGTCATCAACTTACCATAACCCTCCTTCTTTATTTGGACTTCGTATTGTGTGTTCTTTACTTATACGCAGAGTTGATGTCTTTTCCTTCATTGTGCTTCATAAATGAATAAACTATTTCATTATCTGCTTTCATCAGCTCCTCACAGTACATTTAACTTATTGTGACTGAATCTGACCCACAATTCTCAAGCCTTCTGCTCCTATAAAACCTGCCCATAACTTAAAACCTTAACAAATTTTATCTGCAAACTAAAGCTTCTCTCCAAATATATTATCACCTTCAAATATAGTCAATCATGATTTCATCAGAGGCTGCAGCAATCCACTACTTTGCTCCAGAAAACAACCCCTCATCATTTCCTACTGATTTCGGCTTCATGCACAAAAACTTACCAGCATTCCAATACAACACATTCTTAACAAACAACAATATACAAAATTATCAGGCCTCTTTTCCTGTTCAAGACTTCAGCCAACAACCCTCATGCATCAGCAGTAACTCGACCTCTGATGAATCGGAGGAACAACAAATCAGAGTCATCGATGAACGAAAGCAAAGGAGAATGGTATCTAATAGGGAATCAGCTAGAAGATCAAGGATGAGGAAGCAGAGGCATCTTGATGAGCTATGGTCTCAAGTTCTTCGCCTTCGAACAGAGAATCAGAATCTGATGAATAAACTAAACCAAGTCACAGAATCTCATGACAGAGTCATTCAGGAGAATATGCAGCTCAAGGAAGAGGCTTCCGACCTTCGTCGGATGATTACTGACATTCAAATTGACAGTCCTTTCCATGCTTTCAGTGACTTCGACGAGGTTACGTGCAACACTGCTCATCTCAAGGCTGAATCATCAAACCAATCCACTAAATAGAATTTTACTTATCTGCTTCTCTGAAAATGAGTTGTTTTACTAACTTTAAGGATTCAGAGAGGAAAGGAAGAGAAAATGAGAGTGAGCTGGAGATATTTTCTAAGTTTTTCCTTCTTCATGTTGTTAATTCTCTTTTACCTGAATGCAAACATGAGTCTTTAATTCATGTGCTGAGTATCATTTTAGAGTTAAGCCACTGCAGTTTTCATTCACATATTACTCCATACTTTCTATATAATAACCATTCACTATAAAAACCAGTTTTTCTCGGAACCGATTTTTATATTATGTTATAATATATATCTTCTATAACAACACTTCACTCTAGCATCCAAAAAATATCGGATCAAACGAGACTGTTATAAGAGATTTGACTGTACTATTAATTTGGACCTCTCCTCTCGCCGCATAACTCACTGTCTGCACGTTGAATCAAAATCTATGAAAGTGAAAACACCAGTATGGCATGATCAAAAAATCAAAGTCTCCACGATTAGTTCACTACTTCAGTCATTAGATTACCATCTGAACTGTGGCAAGAAAAAGAATATCAAAGTTCTTCACATTTTTTAACAGGTGAACAAAAGCCAAAAGATTTGGCAGGTTGGCAAACTAAAAGCATCACTGTGAACATTTTCTTTTGCATATCAATTATAGAATAAACAAGGTTACACAAAAAAACATAGTGTACAAACTACAAAGAGAATGACCATCTGAAATTTGAAGTCAGCCAAAGGGTTCTATTTGTGAGGTGTTTGCCATAATTTTCTTATCGTATTTGATTTTTCTATTTGTTGAAGGAAAGGATAACATGTTTATCTTAATTGGGTTTTCTTTCTTGTAAAAGGGAATTACAAATCTTCCATATTTGGCTTGTCCTTTTTCTCGTAGGAAAATGTTTGGACTTCTATAAATTGAGGATCATTCCTTCTCATTCAGCAGCATCCACAATGTAGCCATGTGGGGTTTGAGAGTCATGTTTAGGGGGAGAATTTTACGGGACAAGTGTTAGTGTGTCACTTGTGTTTGCCTCTTCGTGAGGTTGTTCTCTCAATATTTTGTACTCTCTTTTATTATAGTGGATTGCTCATTTCCGCCGTGGACATAGGTCAATTGGTCGAACCACGTTAAATATTTGTCTCATCAGGTATATTTCTCTTCTGTTATCTGCTTTATCGTTGTTCAAGATTTGCTTTGCTAGCTTCCACATGACACTTAATTTTTTCGGTTCTTAACATCGTTATCAGTAAGTCCTGTATTGCACAGAATAGCACAAGCAACAAGACAAATGGAAGTGGAGCTGCTGGTAATGGTGGCTCATAATTCAAAGGGACTACTATAAGAAGCAAAACATATTGAAAAGGCAATCCACTATGATTCCAGCTAATGTTTTTAACTTTTCTAAGGACAGAGGACATCAGGTCATGTCATCCAAGAATTTGTGGTTTGTGGACTATACATAAGAAACCATTCTTCAGGTGTTATTGGTTTGCTTTATTCCTTCTATCTTTCAACGTCTCTTGCGTTAGCATATCCACATATTCTCAGTCATACGTTACAGTTCTCTCTCTAATCTATCTATCTATTTCTATTATATGCAGTTTCATGCTTGTTTAATTAATAAGATCGTTTAACATACAACACACTGTTGAGACAAAATAATCCACCCTACTTATTTATGTGCTTCCTCTGGAATAATAGGTTATCATGCAAAGAGATATCAACTACCAATCAAACTATAATGAAATGTACAGCAGAACACAGACTGGCGTAGCAGTGAGCAATCTAACAAAACAAAAGCGACTGATTGTGGCATCAGGGAGGCAGGGGCGGATTTACATGGACCCGAAGCGATGTCACAGGACACCACTTCGTCGAATTTTTTAATTATATATATATAATAAGTAAAACAGAAATACAAGATAAAATCATTAAAAGTGACACCACTTGCATCGAAATAACTCGATAGTCTAACAGTTGACAGCTTCAAGTTTGATGTGAGAGGTCTTGGGTTTGAACTTTTTTGGCTCTACAAAATATTTTTTGACTGTTACTTGCCTATTGCTAGAAATAGTGACACCGCTTATGAAAAATCGTGCCCACTGCAGGGAGGGATCAACAAAAGCTGGGATGATAAAACACACCCCCTTGTTATTTGCTACTTTTGGAGCCAATAGCCCTTGTTCTAAAAAATTTAAGATGTTAATAGGATAACAAAAATCAAAGCTATTAAATGATATTATGCAACTAATTTAGCACTACACGTGATATTTCTACCCATTGGAACACAGGAAAGATATTTTTTTATTATTCATTAAAAATATAAGGTAAGTTTGCATACAATAGACCCTTGTGGTCCGGCCCTTTTCCGAACTCCATGCATAGCGGGATCTTAGTGCACCAAATTGTTTTTGTTTTCATTCAAATTAGAGAGGCTAAGGAAATGCAATCAAGTATACTTTGGTGGCAGCTGAGGGCACCATCTTACATGATTTTCTCTGCTTGACCTTGAATAGACCTATCGAACAATCAACCGGCAGTATTAGGTATGACCTTGAATAGACCTATCCAACAATCAACCGGCAGTATTAGGTACATACTTTCCCAACATAGGTGCAACTAGGGGTGGCAAATGGGCGGGTTGAGTTGAATTTGGGTGGGTCAAGATAGGTTAGGTTAATAAATGGGTCATTGCCCAACCTAGTCCAAAGTGTACTTGGGCTATGATGGGTTGAGCCAAGATGGACTAAACAATGGGTCATAACCCAACTCGCCCAACTTGACGTAAAAATTGCACGGGACGCTCTATTTGGTCGCCCCATTTAACATATATCCATATTTTTAAAAACTTTTAACTTGTACCCACTTTTTAAATAACTTCAGCTCACTTTCTCCTCCTTCATTTTCTTCTTCTTCTTCTTCTTCTTCTTCTTCTTCTTTTTCTTCTTCTTTAGGGGCTCTCATTCTTATTCAATTTTATGCATGCAACTTCAGCTAACGAGAATCTTCTTACTGCCCAGATTGCTCAGAAATGCTTAACAACAATGGACAAAATGCTATGCATGTTGCTATATTGAACACTCTATAACTGAAGTTTTTGTGCTGTAACTGGAAACTTCAGCTCTAGTATGTAATATTAATAGGTGGTAAAAAAAACTTCAGCTCTAGAGTTTGAAGTTTTTGTGTTGTAACTGAAAACTTCAGCTCTAGTATGTAATATTAATAGGTGGTAAAAAAACTTCAGCTCAAGGAGTATCTGCTTCACGCCGCATGGACTTCTATTTCACGTGAGTCTCTGCTTTTTCTCCATTTGTTTACTTTGAGATTTTACAACGAGCACTTGCCCCGTGTAGCTGGTGTATATATCAAAACAATACTACACGAAATGTGTCTTTTACGTAAAATTTATAGCACTTAATTATGATTAATTCATTAGTATATAGTTTCTACCTCAATTTATTACTTTATGTTAATATGATTTGATGTATACCTATTTCGGATTACCAATCCACACATTTTCACTCTATAACTGAAGTTTCCCTGTTACAAAGACAAAAACTTAAAGTTTTTGTGTTGTAACTGGAAATTTCAGCTCTAGTATGTAATATTAATAGGTGGTAAAAAAACTTCAACTCTAAAGCTGAACTTCAGGCCCGCTACTAGAATGTTGAAGTTTTGCGTGATTGCCTTTGCTACTTCAGCCATGTATGTTGAAGTTATGCGAAAAAGCGGGTACGCTTGCAATTTTTTTTGCAAAGCGGGCACAAG